TTAACTGTGACATTGTACAGCGTGTTTGCAAACTAATTACAATGTGTATGTGAGTAAACAAATCCAAAGCATCATGAAACCAGCGGAAACAATAGCATCCTCACTCCTTCTCTTTTCTACCTCCATGGTGTACTGTAAAGGGGTTAATTATTCACTGGGTTTTAATTTTGCTTATTTCGCTGACCGGAAAATGCGCTAAATTAAAACCCAGTGAATATGTAAAATTTAGCATAGAACACATTATCTAAATGATAAAACAGTGAATTTAAAACCTACTGAATATGCCTGAAATGGTAAATCAGTGAAATTTAAACCCAGTGAAAATTATTAATTTATAGTAATATATTTATCAAGTTTTAATTCATTGTAAAATGCTTTGGTCTGATGTATGCAGGCATGAACTTATTCTAAGGGCACCCTATTTCAAGGCTAAATTTTAAAAATGCCATGGACTGGTTGAAATTGTGAAAAAGTATTGATCGAAGAGTATAAGAGCATTCAGGTGGGCATCAAGGCAATTGCCTCCATGGCCAAAATGAATTATTAGTCCTGGTGTATGTGCATGTTCTTGGGTGTGTGTAACTTAGATGTTGGTGTTATTTTTCGGTAGAATTGTCTTATTTCTGCAAAGCTCTGTTGAACAATGTGTGCGTGAAATTTTCAATGAACTTGGTGGTGCTAGAACGTTGGTCTGTTTGTGTATTTTCGTAAAAACAAATCACCATTTATTGAATCAACCAAAATAATTCCATTACTGTAAAATCTGTATTAGAAACCACTGCTTCTATTAAAATGCAACAGAACGGATGCGGCTTCTATTAGCACAACTGCACATACATGTATGAGAAATGGTAAAATTTTGGTTCTCAGTGTTTTAGGAAGAATTTGTGTGGCTTCTAATGCTGATTTCATGATAATTCATGCACAAGTAAAAATTGATTTTTATTTGTATTTTATTTATTCGTGTTCTAGACAAAATAATTTTTACTACCATAAATTAGAAGAGTTTTTATGGAACTTCATGTTTCAGATTGAATATTATTTAGTGGTTGTTGGTTTGGACAAGTTAGAGAGAATTTTCGTGTGTGATGGAAACAAAAGCACACTGATTTCTGTGCATTTCGTGCAGTGCATAAACACAAATCCAGATTGTGACAAAACAAAATTATTTAGAATTACCACTAAACTTTCAGAATTACTGGAATCAGGTGATGCCGAAAGACAGCTTGGATATCGATTAGATAGGGATATGTAATATTTCTGAAATGCTCCTGTATGTATAGAGACTTCAAGTCAACTGATGCTACCGTAAAGTTTTGAACACTATACTTGGAAACAATCTCAATATTAAGGAATGTCTGTTTTCTGGCTGTTGCGGTATTTATAGCCATACCCTTGTGCCTGTTTACAGAATGTGTTGTATTTGTTCGGTGCTTTATTGAAATATTAGAATGTCAAACAGACATAAATCTATATGAAAGGATTTTTTTTTTTATTATAATACGAGGTCAAAATAATGACTGACACTCAAAACCTAGGTGCTTGCTGGATTTTTTTTGGTTTTAATAAACGTGAGAACAGAAAATAAGAAATAGTAATTTCCCATGAACATCATATCATTTTTACTAATTCATTTTGAGATTTTACTAATGACACAGAGAGCATATAGGTAATTCCCCTTTAATTCCAAACATGGGCAATACGTTTATTAAAGTCATTTCACTTCTGTTTTTGAGTATCACTGGTTGATTTATTACGTACGTGTACCTGTGTGAGAGATCTCATCTGATGTATTTTGAACATGCCAATGTTCAACCAAAATCCTAAAATATGGTATTGTACAATCTGATGCAGCTTGTGGATTGGAAATAAAAAATAAAGTTGCCTGTCCATTAGACTGGTTGGAAAATGAAAGGCCCTGTCCCAATTGATTATGTATCCGTCTCTAGGAGGATATATTAAGACATATTATTAACAGTTTTAAACACTCTCCCAAAGAGAGAAATTGGTAAAATTCAACACCTCAACCACCCACACCCCTATTTGGTCAGTCAGAAATGCTTAGTATCTTTATTCACCTGTTCAGAGAGACTGGCAATTTCCACAATAACTTGTCTGGGACAGGGGGACAAGCCATAATTTGGAGGCCCGTTTATACAGTTGGTACAAAGTACATGTAGTATCATGGGTGACATGTAACTTTGCCAACTGTTGTCTATTCTGCTGGCACTATCTGCACATTGTGTTCACCCAGAATGTACACTAAATTTATATAAATGTTTGCCATGTACCTCTTGTCTGCCAGAAATTTGAATCACAAAAGTTATGCATTGAAAAATTATACAGAAACAGGAGGGGAGAGTCGTGTACTGTTTTGTCCTTGACATTGCATGTCCTCAAGTTTTTTTTTGATGTAATTATGTAGGTATTGTGCATGTTGTTCTTTGAATAACTTAACTGAGAATTTAAAGTATGCGTATGGTTGTAACTAGCCTGCTAGTATATTACAGTGTCGTGGTAACCTTCACATAACAATGAAATATTAATATTTGTTTGAATAAAGTGTAAATTATGAATGGGTTGGGCTGATTTATATCATTGAAATACCTAGTTGATGCAACTGTTTGACAACATGCCAACGTCTGTCAGTGCAGACTCGTTGCAAATATACAGGGCATTAGTGGTTAATTTGTATTATCAATTAGTGACACAGCAAAAACATAATGATGGTTCTCGAAACAAACAAAAATTCATGACATGCTTGCTGCAGTGACAAAAAGTGGTATCAGAATTCCTAAGTTTTGAGTTTACTTTTAAATGATAAATTTTTGTCTTCGAATAATTTTCAATTTGTACATGTCCTGATGACTTGTTTGTTCCTGCAATATGTTTGTTTATGCGGCTTTCAATTATAATCAACTATATCATCTGTAGTAAGTGGCAGGGTTTTGAAGTTAAATATAAATAAATGTTCCTGTCCCAATTAATGATGTACCTTTCCCTAGCGACCGAGATAAACTAAGACGTAACGATATTATTTGGAATAAATTTTTTATTCTTGGGTCATCATCGTTTCAGAATTTCAAGCCCTATTTATGTGATATTGTCCTGTTTATCTGAAACAAATATGATTGCGTAGAAGTTCAAAAACAATCATAAGCACATCATATGATTTTGGTGGTGGTTTTATTCCTTGTACATCATCTCTAGGAGTACTCTAAACATTGCAACTACAGAGTACTACTACTACTCTCTAATCTGGACGATGCATTTCTTAGATGTAATTACATGTATTTCGGATTGGTCGCGTTTTGATTTCTTATCAATGACGACAGTTTAGTTGAATATTATGATTTAAAACGTTCGTAGAGTTAAACTGCTATCATTTCACCAACAGTGGTCAGTAGAAACAGACTTTTCAATTCTGCGCAACAATTACTACATGTGTTTCGGCTCAAATCAAGATTAGCTGCATTCACCCAGCCTGAATGCCTGGCAGATCACATACGTGTACAGCAACTTTTTAAAACCATTTGACATTTTATTGCCCAAACAAATTTTTCCTCAGCTCCCCATCCCCCAAGTTAACTGAATCAAATTTTTAGAAATAATCTATTAACCTGTCCAATGCAATTTGGACTGTGTTTTCTAATATGAACTGTGACTAAGGGGTATTATTAATGATGTCATTATTTATTTTTATCACTCATCACATGTACATAATAATCTTTTTACAGAAACAACATACAATGTATGCAACAGTTGTTAGCTGTTCATAATAGATAACCAATTCTTCTATAAACCCATACTGAATTACATGAATAATTAATAAGATATGAAATTCGTAAAATGAATATAAATCATAAATTATCATAACTGCAACAAAGATGGTCTGTCTGACGAAAAGACTAAACACCCAAATACACCAATGCCTGAGAACATTCCCGTGCACAGTTACATGTAGTAAGCAATGAACCACAATTTGCAACTGTACTTTTTTTTTTATGATTATTCCATTTATTTCCACTATTAGAAGCACAGTCTCCATGTAAATCAAAAAACACATTTGCTGTGTATTGAATCATTAAAATATTATATTTTGAACCATCAAAACACCTGTGCAATTTAAGAAAGTGTATGTGCTACGAATAAATTAATAAATGGCAAATGCGGTATTTGCTTAATAGTCAAATCACTGGATTTGGAAGGAATGAAAAAAAAACTCATTCTCTTCTATAAATTAATTCTATTTCAAATGAGACAGTGATTATATTTATCATAAATTACAGTGTTAGGCTAAACATGAGGGTGTGCTCAAATTAGGCTTACTGCAGCTGTAAAGAGTTGTCAAAACAGCATTGTTCTCGTAGATGTGTACAATAAGCTGTAAACCTTACCATAAAGCTATAAAATTCTTTGTCTGGTTTGTTTTTTGTTTCCCCTTCAAACAAAATTTCCCAGAAAACAACGTGGCACTTGTATGACTATGTGTACATGGTAATAAAACCTTTATCCAAATGGTAGGTACTGGGTACTTGCATATTTCAAATGGTAGGTACTTGTATATTTGCATAATTTATTGATGTTACATTGCTGTCAATATCTTTATATACATTGTATAGTTGGTAATAAAAACACATTTTATTTTTTGAATTGTTGGACTCCTCCAGCTGCATTTTTCTTGCATGTACATCTATAATTAGTACGCTCCAAGGAGTGCTGAATTGAGTGTATCCTACTGAATTCTTATACCCAGTGTGGGAAATAATAATAAAATCCTTGAATTCCCATACAATTTTTAAAATGCCAGTTTATTGAATTTTCTTTCCTGCTTTCAATAATCATGAAAAACCCCTACCGGGTAATTCTGCTTTCTATTAATGAGGCCTCAGAGTTGTAAAAACGTGTCTAGCGACAATTCCTTTGATGAAAAGTACTAAAACTGACTATTTTCATGGTAAAGATGTTATCGCTCAAAGCTAATGTGTGATAGATTGTTAGCCAAGGTCTCTATTTCTTTATTAGTGAGCTAACATAAGTGATAGTGTGTTTATGGTCATACATGTACAGATATAGTTTATGTAAACGCTACTAATAGAGAAAGTATGTAAGAATAATTTTTGATTCACATGCATTTATGAAATACCTGGTGCTGCCAGTTATTGAGACGCTGTTTTCTCATTTGTCAATTGGTACCGTGTGCAGCCCTGTTATCGTTGAAATGCTTGAGGTCAGTACACGGACATAGAAACAAGTATACATTGCATGCAACTCATCAACATTCAATGTTTCCCCTCATTTATATGGATAGTTTATAAAACAAACCCATCACTATTTCAGAAATCCTTGGGAAATTATATATGAAAATTTATTGCGCATGTTGTCGTGAACTTTTACGCATGACTGAAATACAATGTACAAGCGTCCACAATGTGCTAATCCTACTTTATTTCTCAGCAAGCTAACACTGTACGTATACTCCAATTTTCGACAGTTTGTGGTATTATAATTGGACTACACATCACTCATTATTACATGATAACAATGCTCAGCCGAGAGTGTTTGCTTAAATCGTTGGCTTAACTACTAAGTGTTGCCCATTATTGCGCACATACCGTCCTTGCCCTGTTATGCAACATCTTTTTTTTTCCCCCAAGTGGAATTCTTGTTTAAATATAATTTTTACATTGTGCTTTGTTTTGTTTTTTCTCTTTAGCACCAATGTGGTGATGAACTATAGTGAAGTGGAGGCTAAAGTTCGCGAGGCCACAAACGACGACCAGTGGGGACCACATGGTACACTAATGTCCGATATTGCCAAAGAAACTTTTACATATGAACATTTTCCAGAAGTAATGGGTATGGTATGGAAAAGAATGCTTACAGATCCCAAGAAAAATTGGAGGCGAACATACAAGGTACAAGTTGTGGATGTATATTCAGTCTTATTAAAGGGTTCATTTGTGGGGGCATCTGTACATTCTGTCAGGGGTGTCCATGATCCCAAAAATTGGTTTAAGATCCTTTTATAGCTCCGCTGTCGACTTTGTCGAGCGGAGCTTATCATATGAGTTGATTGTCCGGCGTCGTCCGTGTCAATGTTTTACTTTTTCGACTTCTTCTTGAAAACTACAAGCCTGAATGCTTTGATACTTGGTGTATATGTACCTTGGGTAAGACCTCTCTTTGGTTTGTTCATTTCATGTTGATATCTTCAATTCTCTAATTTTGGTGA